TTCAGTTTGACTCATCTGAAGACGAGGAACAAGAAGATAGTGATCGTGATCAAGAAGGCTTTGATGACAACGCTTTAGATTCAGATTGTGAATCTAGTGTGGCTGAGAACGCTTCTGAAGTGGCTAAAGCGGTTCGTAAAGTAAGTACCTGAATAACTACTTCAACTTGCTTTTTCTTGGCTAACCTAACATTTGCTCTAGGATAAAAAGTTCAACAGCTTATGTACCAGGAGCTCAGCAAGACGTCAAGAATTCTTAGCTAAGGCTAAGCAGATGGAGTACAAGGGTCGCTCTCCTATCTCTGGCTGGGGAGTGAGATGGAATATCGATGCTGACTACCTCAAAAGGTTAAGTGATGCACGTGATGTGGGTAGTATTTCTTTTTTCATTTCTTCTTCTCTCCATCAGATCATCCTTGTGTCTCCTTATCTTACAACTTCTTGCTTGATCTGTAGGTCGTTGATGCGATTCTACTCAGTGATCAGAAAACTCGATATTACCAAGGCTTGCAAATAAGTGCTGACGAATGGGACTTGATCGAGACCCTGGTGAAGATACTACAGGTTTGTCTCTTTTGGATGCTGTTACTACTTTTTAATTTTCACTGACATCTATTTATTTGCAGGTGTTTTTGTATGCCACCAAACGAATGGAGGGCAACACAGCCACCGGTTGTATACTACTTGCCAAATACTCAGGGTTGGTTCTGGATATCGATCGCCTTGTTGATGCTTGCGAAGACTCAGACCTCAAGGCCATGCTTGTGTTAATGCGCACTAAACTCAAAGGTTATCAAGAAGAAGCAGTTGCTTCTGATGCGATTGTGATCTCAACAATCCTCAATCCTCGTTTTTGGATTCGATTTTTTGACCTTAACTACCCTGAAGAGGCTGTTCGAGCCAAAACATTATTTCGCAAAATCTTTGAGAAGGCACTTGAAGAATGGCCTGAAGAGCCTATTGACTTGGCTTCAGATGAATCGAATCAAACACCTTCCATTACCACCTCACCTTCTCCAATCTGTACCCAATTTGATGTCTTTACTACTCAAGTCACAGCTCAGTCCCCTGCTGATAAACGTCGGGAGGAGCATATCGACTATATCGAGGGGGCTCATCTTATGCTTGCTGATCAGTCGGAGCTAGAGTGGTGGAGCGTATGTTTATCCTAACTCTTTTACTGGCTTCTGAATCTGTCTCTGACTGGGTTTGTTATTACTTATAGGACCACGAGAAGGATTTCCCGGTGCTTGCATCTCTTGCCCGAGATTACCTGGGGCTATCAGGTACCTCTTGTCCTTGCGAGAGGACATTCTCTTCGGCTGCCAATATCGCAGTCCCTGGTCGGGCTTCTTTGACGGCAAGGGCTATCTCAAGGCTCGTTGGTGTACGCGAGTGGTTAAAGTCAAAGGTTTCTCTCTCGGGTTTATTTGCTGAAGCTGCGGCTTATCTTCTAGCATATGAGACTTCTAACGGTAAGGCTAGAAAGTAATTTCTTTTTATTGGCTTCTCTTCCCCTTTTCCCTATGACAAAAACTCAAAAAACTCAGAAATTCTTGTGCGCGCTCTCCAAAATAAAGATTAAATCCCTAAAAAAGTTGTCTTCTTGTGTGTGTTCTACAACACATCATAAAACTCAAAAAAAAATGTTCTTGTCTTCCTGTTTTTACTTTGTTGATCCCCACTCCACCAAGCCCATTATAACACATGCGTATTCCAATAAAGGCTTAAGACTCAAAAAAAATTGCCTGAACCCCAAAACGCTGCCTGAATGCGCTTAGAAGCGCTGCCTCGTCTAAAAAACAACCATAGCGGAGCGGAGCGGTCTTTAAATGCGCACCGCTTTAAAATCTCATAGCGCGTCGAAAATATAGCGTAGCGATTAGTCCTTTTTACATAGCGGCAAATCACTACGCTCGTGATTTTGGGTGATATAGCGGAGCGGAGCGTAGCGACGGTGGTGTTGCTACAATTGGTGCTCCCAATTTCATAAAGTTTATGCCAAAGTTTATGAAAGTGGGAAAGGTTTTAAGACACCCCAATTTCTTTTGAGCAGAAATTTACACAAACTTACAGCAAACAGAAAATTAAAACAACTATAGAAGAAAAAACATTAGATAACAATGTGAGGCAAAAAAGGAAAGAAAGGTGTCAAGACTGATATATACCATTAGTAGCACTCACCCACAAAAGAAAACAGATTATGAATCAAGGGCTTCTCAAGAAGCTGTTGATTGCTGTTGACCACTGCTGACCATCTTGTTTTACAAAACGGGAAATCTTTTTACAGCACACTACCATAAAAAAATCTCAAGGAAACACCTTAGAAATATTGACCTAAGCCCTCCTAATACAAATATCCCTACTTCAAAACACTGAGGGTACTCAAAGCAAGTTGTGCTGCCAGCATTAAATAGGTACCTGGGTGGGAAAGCAACCTAGGCTGTGAACATGATTGACAGTAGAATGTGTCATGAAATCATTTTGCACTGCACAAATGAGCCATAAAGCATATGCTACATGTGTGCAAACATCTGAGTAAATTATTAGCTATCAGCTACATACAGATCAGATCAGTTATCTCTTCATCTGGATAAGGAAATCACATGTAATACATGCTGTAATTTTGTTCAGATTGCAACAAGCATCTTGAAAAATTGACTGCATATATTACAATGGCTACTTGGGAACTATTTATGGAGCTGTTCAACAGTAGCAGAAGGGGAATCTGGTCCCTGGTACCCACCTTCCCATCTGGGGACCTCTTTAATGCTGGCAGTGTATGTATGTGTACATACTTTTTGCTACATACTGTTTCTTGGCAAGGACCACAAGGCAAAAAGTATATTGTTTTTCTTCTCTCAAAATAAGATACATGTACATACTTGCTTGGGTATCCTTACTGCTTATAACTTTGAAATTTTTGAAAAACTTGTAGAAAGCCCTTCCTGAGAAGCACAGTGTAGTGTCTTTTGTGTAAAAAACATGAGATTTGAAGGGCTGGGAGGCAAGAGTAAAAAGTTTTAGGCAATTTTTGCCCAACTTGAGCCCCCTATTGGTTCACCTTTTTGCATCTAGCATAAATGTATGCTTATACACATTATGTGGTCAAGTTTTGAAACTCTTTAATCATGGTATTTTCCATATCATTGAAGAGGATATTGGTCAAGAAGGCCATCTTGTCATCAGGGGGTTTCGAGTTGAATTTTTTACCATATTTTTACAGTACAACAACTTGTCCAAGACTGTAAAATTTACTGTCAACATAAAAAATTTGAGACATCTAAAAAGGTGTCCTGAATGCTGTCAATCATCCATTTGCAGGAAACCAAACACCACAAAATTTCAAAAACTTGTCCATTTTGCAAAGATTTTGCGCAAAAATATCCCAACTTGAAACCCCCTACATACTCTCTTTGTAGAGAATGCCGCCAAATGTTGGAACAATACGTTTACCAAGCATTTTTTCTTCACTCACTTGATTGTCTTCATCTTCTTTGGCTATTTGAAGAAGCTCTTTGGAAATTTTGATAGTTCATTTTCTTTGTGACCTTTGAACCATCTGGAAACTGAGTTTCAAATGGTTTTTGAGACCTTTAGAAAGGTCAGCTGGGTATGCATTGGGAATGATTTGCTTGTTCAACAAGCAATATTTCATTTCAAGCTTGAGCTCTAAAAAAACTCAGGGATCAAATTGGTCAAGTTTCTTTCTATGAACATGATTGTCCAACATGCTTTCAATTTAAAAACAGTCAATTTGAAAAATTCATGGTGTTAACACTTGACCAAATTTGAAAAAAAAAACATAAAACAAATGCAAACTTGACGCCCCTTATTACACCAAGTACTTCCAAACCGACTAAGGTTTGGTGTCTTTTTTGTTTGTGGTGTAAACTTTGACAATACCTCCCCTTAAGTGGTTTTTACACCTATTCTGTTGCACCACATACAGCAGTTTTAAAGAAAGAATGCCACCTCACTTGGATTTTTCCCCTTTTTTCTAAAAACGTTCCACTAAATAGTACTGACATAGATTCTATGTATGAGCAGTAGGTGTTTTATTTGAGAGTGCAAAGTTTGTGAAGGATCCTGAAAGATAAAATGTGTGCAGGGTACTCAAATTAAGTATGTGGCGCTACATACTTTTTTTTGGCCGAGAAAAAGAAAAAATATACCTTTGGCCTCGTTCTCCCCGCCAAAAAAAGTACAACTGGTCTTACGTAGAATCTACGTCAGTAAAATACTGAGTGAAACGTTGAAAGAAAAGAAAAAAACCATGAAGGGGGCTGGCATTCTTTCTCGAAACTGCTTTAATTCAGTGCCAATCGGTCATTGTAAAAATCCCCCTGCCCGTACAGTAAAAAGTGTCAAGTGCTGGAAATTTCTAAGGTGACGCAAGATTGAGATTTGTGGTCTCCGCCACAACCTTAAAATCCTGGGTTATAATTTGCACAATTCTATGATGATCTGCTTCTCGGGGAAAGATACCGGAGGTATGGTAACTTTGCCATGCCATCCGATGAAATCCAGTCAAGTGATTTGAGAGAATGGCTCGACCTTGACGATGCTGATACATATTGGATACGTGCCGTTATAGAGGGTCACACCTCTTTATGAATCATGCTTCAAAAGCTAAAGCAACGTGAGATTAGTGCCCAGCAGCTCTTGAGCTAAAGAGAAAATTAATACCTTGCAAGCCAAGGCAACAAACCTTTACTCGTGCTTTCCCCAATCTATCTCTCAGAAATCTCTGGTCGTCTTGGTATTCACCTCTGACCTAATCACACCTCATTAATCTCGATCAATAGCTTCTCAACCCACACAGAACAAAGTTGTGTCCACATTTACATCTTGTCCAGATTTATCCTCTGTCAATTTGTCCCTATCGCTTCACTTCAACTTCAAAGCATTCAACTACAAAGCCCTCTCACTTTCTCCACGGAGGCCAGTTATTACGTCAGATTTTAATCTCAACAGGTTAACAAACTTCATTCAATCCTCATGGCGCCTGATCCGATTTCCAACAACATCGTCTTCAAATACGGTGATAGGATGATCCTGACGGAAGCTCCCCGAAGCCTTCATGTAAGTAAAACGCTTAATGAAACAGAAAGCTTTGATATCTTGAGACTTGGTTCCTGACGCTTGCACTTCACAGGCTGCCCAGCGTGACGTACGAGAACTTTTCAAACTCGAGACCACTGATGTGATTGAATTCTTCTTGCGTGTTCCCGATCATGGCTTGGCTGAACTATCCAAATCAAGCTGGCGAAATCTACAATATGGATCAGTAATCGAGATGACCACAACGCTCCACGAGAAACATGGGTCTTTGTCTTTACCCGACAATGCTTTGATGCGGTCTGATTTCGGTAAGTCGACGTTTACTCTTCGGAGTTTTATCCTCTGAAGACATCAACTGACAAGCAAGTGGAAACTGCAGAAACACATTCCAACAGATCCTCTTGGACCGATAAAACGGCAGTCGATCCAATAGAACCCCATGATTCTGAGCTTGAACACCCTGAACAGACGAGTGGTGAGTCACATATAGAATGTGAATACAAAGTCTCACCAATTTCCTCTTGAATTTGGCTTATAAGTATCCTCATTTTTCCATTCAACTAGGTGCCGATTTTTTCGAGGTTCTCACAGATCCGATGACTTCTGTCCAAGTGGAACTACCCAGTGAAAAGGGACTCGTAGAAACACTAGAAGTGAAATTACGTCGCTCTCAAGGATTTCAAGTCTTGTTTGGAGACCTTTCTTATAAGCTTTGTGTACCAACAGAGCATTTACAACTTTGGTTAAATCGTGGAAGAAAACTCAAAAGAATCTCACCTACGAAATCTGTTGAGGACTTAGGAATAATTGATGGAGATAAGATTCGAGTTCGAATTCGAATCATCTCTACACCAAAGATTTCTTCACCAAAATCTTCAGAATTTCCTATCACTTGGACTGAAGGTTTCTTAAAACCTACTTTCGCTTTTCCTATGTTGAATGGTTCATGCCTTCCCAAGAGTCCAGCCTTTGGAAGGAGTGAGCGGATATGCAATCGTTCGCCTGCCTTATCCCCAAAGTGATTATCATCTTGAAAAACGTCGGTGACGTGATTTTGATCACAGATATATCCGCTTAATTTATACAAATCACAAATGGCGTTGTTAAAATATTCCCTTCAGTGAGAGAGGTACAAGACAATAAAACTTCAAAAACATCTGTTTGTTAGATCCAAGTTTTGTAACCGCATGTGCTCTCAAGAGTTTTGTTTATATTGTTTTATTTCATCTTCTTCTGCCTCTATCTGCATGTAAATCACTAGTATTCAATCATTTTTTTGTATCAAGCATATCGTGTCATGTACCCTTATCGTTTTTATATAATTGTAATCATGATATCATAGCAATTGATGCATTTTTACTTGTATGGTGTTTTCTTCTTGTTTTCGTGTTTCTCCTTACGAGTTTGATAGTATTGTACTGAGAAATTGATGTGATGAATAACACACAAGACAAACTAGTCTGTTTGGGATTACAGATGCCCAAATATTGAGCTTGACGCCGCAGAGGCGTCTAATTTTGACGTTTGGGGTTTGCACAAGGTAAAGAGATTCAACAAGAAATGTCTCAGTTGTTAGGAAGATGCTATTAGTATGGTTCTCTGTGAGACTTCTACGTTGATTTTGGGCCGATTCAGAGACCCAAAATCCAATGAAACATCCCCCAAGAATCAGACAACAAGACAGATACTCATGAAGAGGTCAGGCGTACTATCAATGCTCAAAAGTCAAGGAGTCTTAATCTTTGGGATTGATCACCGAGAACTGTTTGGGATAGAAAGTGAGCCCTTCTGGTCTTATTACCAACATACCTCAGAATGTTTGGAGCGGAAATATTCAGATTTGTAATGTGAGAGTAATTTTCAAGGTCCTTGCAGTTAGTGTATTGGCGCCATGTTATAGGAAGCCTTGTCCTTGAATAGACAATCATAAGCAGTTAAAAGAATCCATGCATGGTATTCAGAAATGAGGTCTCAGCAGTTAATATTCATTCCTTTGATCGACCATAAAAAATGGTCCAATTGTCTGTAATAGATTATAAGCAATGTCCTAAAACCACACATGTCCATCATAAAGCTAAACAAAAAAAGTAATAGAAGATATCCCGAAAGGAAATAAACAAAAAATAATAAAAAATGTCTTTAGATCAATCAAAAACGAATCATATAATATGCTAGACTGACGATATACAAGAGATAAAAGGAAAAAAAAGGATGCATATATTATACAGAGTGATGATTTATAAATCGTAAAGAGGTAAAGGAAAAATAATAAATGCATAAATCGTGACAAAGTCGTAATTATTCAAGGATAGAGAGGTACCAAAACGATTTAGGCTATTAAACCATTAACAGTAACAAGATCAACCGAGCTCAACGCTTTAACAGGTCCAAAAACTTTCCAAGGAGGTTTAGATTCTTTAAATAGACTCCAAGAATTTCTAATCAATCTATTAGAGGGTTGAGGAAGTTGAGAATCATTGGAGCGAACTTGATTTTCTAATCTTAATTTTTGAATTCTAAACTCTAAATCATTTCCCATAATTTGACCAGTTTTTTCAAAATAGTTCATTTCAATTAACATATCTTTAAATCTTTCACTTGGGGTTGGTTTGGAAAACTTTGATTCAAATGCCCATGAAACGTGATATTCTGGTGATTGATTATCAGGGATTCTAAGTTCTGATAATAATACTTTTAAATGATCAAATACTAATGAATCTGATTTGATTGAATGATTGTCTGATATTGAAGTTGTTGTGTTGATTTCAGATTCTTTCGGTTCAGCTTGTAGAGAACATTCGACGGATGAAAATGATAAAGCGTCTTCTTGATCTTCATTTTCCGAGTCCTCCGGGAGGTGATTAATGCTTGTGATATCGTTGTGTGGAATTTGAATGTTAAGCTCAGACCTTGTCTCGTCTACAGACTCATTTAGCGTGATGGAAGGGAAACCTCTTGAAGTATCCGACTTTTGTGAAGAGATAAAGTCGTGAGATGCATCATCTGTTGAGATGCTAAGAGAACTTTTTTCGTCGAAAGAAAATTTCGATGTCCAACTTCCATCAGATGTTGAAGTCGACTCAGTGTCGCTTTGAGATGAATAAGAATTTCCATCCGAAACCAAGCAAAAGCAGAATTTCTTTTGCCTGGGGATGAAAGAGTTCTGACCCGTCAAGTGGCGTGGAGTGTAAATGTTCCTGTTGCCGCTCTATTACGAGAAAACAGAACATTGCTCAATGAAACTGAATATGAATCGGCAGAGTAGTAAAAATACTGACCTCCATGGCATTGGTGGCCTTGAAAGATCTTTGAACGTTAGCCATGTGTGATGTTTGATAGCCGGATTGGCGAAGATACGACAGTGAAAAAGAGCTGAGGAGACGTATTGCAAAGCAAGTGACAGAAAAGATGAGTTGAGGAAAGGGTGGAAACGATATCTGGAATCGAACGAACAAGGATATATAAGCGGAAGTTCAATTCCTTTTGATTAAGCAGGCCAAGTTGAAATAAGATCAAGAGAGGAAAGGCGTTCTGTGCAGTTGTCGCACTGACACCAGTTCGTTTCAGAATCTCGACGGTTAACCACTCACAGCCAATTGCGGCCTTTCACTTGAAACTGCTGGGTTCCTAAGAGTAGATAAAGTCACAGAAGCCTGATTATCGAGAAGTGTGCAGGAAATGAAGTAACGGACAAAGGTCGCATAGAGCTTTATGATATGTATCATTGTTTGTATACAGTTTTATTCCCTCGGACCTCGTTCAACCAATGCTCTAGAGCAGCTAGCACAGGAAACATGAGATCCAAGCTCTTGATCAAGCTTGATCACCACTGCTGTCATGCGAAGACAAACACATGACCATTTCATAACTCAAGTCACGAGAGTAGGGAATTTTGAATTGATACACATCATGTCAATTCCATAGCAAGCATCTCCTATCGTGATTCGTCTCGGTAAGTGGCCCGGCACAGTAAATTTTACCGTCCCAAGGCTCAAAATCACCGATCGTGTCCAAAGTACACATCTGGGTACACCAGCAGGTCATTATTTTGATTGATCAACCGGCTTTTGCTCCGGTTGATTTTTTTTCCTTGACTGGTGAAGAACATGTTTGGAGCGAGCCCTTCCCAACTGTGCTGCAACAGGAGCTCTCCCCCGGTTTGTCAGCCGGATTCAACCGGAGAAAATCCCGAGATTGAGCGGAAAAACACTCGGTTGTGGTCCTCAAGTCACGCTGGCTCAGAGTCACAATACCGCTTGCTGTTGTTCAACCACCCTCAAGTGGTTGAAAACCCCTTTTCCATCACAATGCACACATTTATGTTTGTTTCATGGTGTTCATATCAATTAATACCAGGCTGAGCCACTCATTTCCCTGAAAGAACAAGTATCACATTTCAAGACAATGCTAAAACAATACAATGATGAGGGCTATAAAAGAAATGAAAGATACAAGTGAGGGCTGCACGTGAAGGGAATACAGTTACAAGTGAGGGCCCTGAGTGTTGGCCAGATCATTACAATGAGAACAATATGCTGCAGCTATAGATTGGGAGGAGATGGAAAAAGTTGAAAAGCTAAAAGTATGGTCCAGAGACAAACATCACAGAGTTTGTTTTCTGTTTATTTCTGGTGTTTCTTCCCCAGGGCCTGAAGTCTGGCATTGACAATAAGGGCCACCCTGTGAGCTGCTCATTACATTCAATCTTTAGCAGGGTTCCAATCAAAAACCTTGAGATTGTCCGCAGCGGAGTTCCAGAGCCAAGAATGCAATGCTCAAGCGCAAGTATCGTCATCCTGGTTTTTCATTCCTCTGATAAACCTAATGAAAACAGGGTCAAAGATCACAACCCAAACCGATCCAATGTACCAAAAAAACTGCACAAAGAATACTATGATCTCTTAAGATTCATTCAATTTAAATTTTCCAACAAACCAGATCCACAAGCTTCAACATCAATCACTTCTTTAGGAGTATTACAACTCAACACAATATAATCCTTTTTTTTAATCTGTACCATATCTTCAATCCTAATCCTAATCGATCAAATCATTCAATCAAAAACTCATGTTCAGTTTCAACAATCTCATTTCTCAAATCACTTCATCAAAATCTTTAAAACTAACCCTATTCCATGAAACTCTGAAGGAAAACAATCATCATGAGGTACATATATACCTGGTTCAATAGTAATCACTGAACCCGACTTGAGCCTGTTGATGATATCAAACAATCATTATCACCAACATCAAATCTACTCAAGCTAGATGAAGATCACATACTGAGTCGTTCTATCCAAAGTAGGGGTATCATGTAAGTCTGTCCCAACTGGATGTCCAATATAATGAGGATACAACTGTTCCAGAGTTCCAGGTACTTTAAGATCGAAACCAAGTTGTGAAAGCGCACTACGTAATAATTGACAACTTGCTCGATGTAAACTGCTTAAAGAAACACTTTCTTCTTCAGTACAACGACTGATCAAATCTTTCTGAACACTCAGAACAGCTTCATATAAATCTCGTTGAGGGGATGTAAATTTGCCATCGTTTCCACTCGGGAAAGAACGAGTGATATCCGCCAAATAACCTGCATATTCGAATCCTGCATCTAAGAGAACCATTTGGTTTCCAGCTTGTAGCATACGATCATTAGCAGTATAATGAACTGTAAGTGCAGCATCTCCAGCTGCACAAACAGGTACATAACCCATCCGACCTCCAAAGCCCACAGGATCTCCTTGACAAGTTGTTTCGAATGCTCGAACTAAATCATATTCAGTTTGTGATTTGTGTTCTGATGTTTGTGCAGCGAGTCGCATGGCAGCCTTGTGACCCCGAGCCGTGATATCGCAAGCTTTTCGGAGTAACTTGAGCTCAGCTGGTGATTTGATCATCTTCAATGGAACGAGTTTACGTTTCAAAGACTCGATAGGTCGATATTTTGATGACTTTTTACTTCGAGAGCGTATCTGACGCATCGGTGCAGTTGCTAGAACATTCAAACATGCCTCTATATCGTTTTGATTTCGAGAATTACGAAACGGCGAACTGAGAAGACTGATCAGATCAGCATCTTGAGATGCACTAGGTGAAAAAAAGTTCATCAAGCTCGATCCACTTTTTCGTATACGCATCAGAGATTCGGCATCGTCAGGTAAGTCAAGATAAATGGGTATATTTGTTGATTGAGTGAGTAAAGGTCGTAGCTTGGTGGCAAGTTGATCGATATCAAAGGCCTGTTCATACACCAACTCATCAGTCAAGTGCTGATCGAAAATTGAGGTCACTGGGTACCTTATCAGCTGCAAACCACCGAACTACACCCTCAACTCCCGTTCTAGCACCTTCCCATAACTCTTTAGAAAGATCTTTCGGACGGACGAACAAAGTCATCTCATAACCTTTTTCGCTATTGCCCTTTTCTAGGCCGAAACAAAGTCAGTTTAATGACGAGTCGAGTAAGATCGAAAGAAGAACTGACCAAGGACCAAGCAAGAATCCGGTTCTTGAAATCCGGTCAGATACCAGAAATCACTAGATTGTCGAAATGGATAGCTATATTGAAAATTCAATAATTCAATCCCAAAATAACCAAAAAGAATAGCCCTGTAACCCTAGCTCGAATTCAGACCTACAAGACATGATGAGCCATCCACTGCAACCGACCACCAGCTAAAATCACCACACTCCCATCCTCGAGTTTGTCCATCAATTTCTTCCTCCGGTCAGCATACTCTCTAGCAGTGATCCCAATAGTCGTTTCATCTGATTTTAAAAGGTGGGGATGAGTAAACGGAAGTGGTTGACCAAAGTATTCTCTAGGAGATGTAGTTTCGCTTGAAGGAACTTTTGAAGAAACAGCAACAGGACTTGAAGATTGATAACGAACTGAAAAGAAAAGTGTTGAAGATTATCAATCTATTAAAACATCTTGACAGATAGAACTGGAATCGTATGTACAAAAAAGCTTACTGAAATTGTGATTCCCTAGGCACGCTTCTCGAAGCTTGAGTGGTTGAGCTGAACATTCAAGTCTTGAAGTTCTCCATTTATTTCTCGAACGGTTACAGAATGCTTTGAGAGTGAGCATTGTCTCAAGTTTTGGTGGTAGTGAACAATGTACTGATCGAGTGATCGAAGTCGATAAAAAAAATTGGTGTGGGGAACGGTGGCGAGCTCCGCATACATGGTGAAGATGATAGCTTGAGATAGGCGCGCCCCTGCCTGCTCGGCGGAAAACGGCACAGCCTGACACGCACTTGCCCTTCACACCAAGGTTTCTCGGCAACTTGCTACTGCCAAAGGCTTATGAATTTCAGCCCGAACCTTCAAATTGGATGTTCTTTCTCAAAACTCAACATTCCAAGCTTGTAAGATGATGTTTGGGATGCACAGCCTGGCCGCTTTCCATCTGTAACTTTTCTAAATGATCAGATTACAACTCTTTTTTCTTTTTTCTCCTTTGTTTTTTTATTATCAAATTGAAAGTTCCACTCAAAAACAACACCTGGACAATCAATGGATAACTGCAGATCAATGTTTGAGAAAAGCTATACATACACAGACATAAGACTGAGGATCTCAAATGTTCAAGATGTTAAGTTTTGAGTGAGAACATTGGATTTGGGCATTTGTGGTATCTGTCTGAAGTTCACAAGCCTTTGACAGTAGCAGCCATATTGATATTGGAATCCTTTGATACTTGATTATTGCAATTTTCCGGAGCTTGATGTAAGATCTCCTTGAAAGAAAAAACTCATCAAATCACTTTAATTATCCTGAAAGAAAAAAGAGCTCCTTCATCCACAGTGCCCGTGGAGAACTTGAAGGCCCCCGACATCGGGGGCCCTTTGATACCTTGCAAAGGACTCACAAAAATGCTTGCAATTCTTTCCACACTGATGTCAAGGGCTGAGCTTACCCATCCTCATTGCCAGACTCAGGTATTGGCCTGAGGAACATCTAGTATTCCATCAACAAGGATGAGGCAGAATGAGCCGTCCTACCCTGAGACAAACCCATGTGGGATTGGTCACAAATTCATGGATGCCAAGAAGCACCAGTTGTGCCAAAACAACAAAACAATAAGATACCCCGTGTAGGCCTGTTCAAGGCCCTGTCCCTGCCCAAAATGCTGACTTGATCCCATCATTTCCTGGCTTTGGCTACCTTCTTACTTTACCAATGGCGCAGAGATCTTGCATCAAGAGTGAAGAACTGTCAAAATCCCAGACATTCAGGAAGTTGACTCGGCTTTTTGGAACCGTACAGTTACCTTTACAAAACAACCACAATAATGAAAATCAGACACCCAGTACTTCTAGTTCAACTACAATAGATTCACCTTACATACATCCATCCAACACCATGGGCAAACTCATCAAACAATGATATATCACCATCATACTTTGAATTTGAACCAACTCCTACAAATTATACTCAAGTTTGGTGAGTGAATCATCAATAAAAGCTTAGTGAGCCAATCAGTTAGGCTCTCAATCAAATGACTATGAAATGTTGATACAATAAAAATAGCCTCAATGATTATTCATGCATTTATCTGGGCTGGCGTTCAATTCAAAGTAGAAGAGTGGCAAAAGTTTCTTATCAATTACGGGATACCTTACCGGTTGTGGCTTCTCCGGCTTTTCAACTACAGCTCGCTCACCCTGGATGTCCCTTGAGGTCTTTGTGATTTGCCTTTATTTGATTCTCTTTCTTACTCTCATCCTCACCTCCAACGCAAAGCTGGAATTCCCAGACATGCTCAACAGGTTTAAAAATGATACAGATTATGACAGTGATGGGTTTGTATTCTTCATGGGGTGGTCTCTGGTAACATTGGCTTTGGGGGCCAAAATATCAGTGTATCTAGCTGACAAAATCAAACAGCCCACTTCAAATGGCCCAAAGCCCTCTTCTACAGTACTTTGATTAGCTACGTCCTAGGTTTTATATGAAATGTTGCCCTATCCACTGTAAGTGTTTCTTCTTGCAAAGGTTGGGACACTTGTCAAAACTTATCATGTTCTAGACTTTACCGCCTCTGGACAATTGTTCAATGTTAAGGACACATTTAGTGAATTTGATATTGCACCTTGCCCTTGAACGGCGGCGCTATTGAGTTTGTGCTGTCTCCTAGTCTAAATGACTCTTGAAGATGTTGCTTAGTTGTCTTCCGCTAGTTGTGATACATGGCTCATGGCTCGAGATTGTGGATGTCCCCTTGTGCATGTTTGGTGTAAAGTCAGCACTGAACATTGCATTCCTTGAATGGCCACTGGATTACTGGTTGGATGTGGTATCCTTGCTGCAGTGGTCATCAATATCAAAGAAAACATCTTCACAGAAAAAAAATTATCACTTTGGGTAGCTATGTACTTTTTGTAAGTAGTCTCAGAATCTCTCTCTTATCCCTTGATTGCGATTACACACAACATCTTAAGTTTAAGAATGCAAAAAACTGATTTTCAAGACTGATTTATTGATTTGCCTTGTTTCTCACTTGTTGGGTAGATTTGCTATCTTGTACCAGTTGCAATATACTTCTGCTGCAACAAGGATGTCCTTCAATACAATGGAAGTAATGCGTGGAATCTTTGTGATTTGCGCTGGCCTTGTGCTTGGATCACAAGTTCAAATACAGATATTTCATTCCTTGTACAACCACATTTTCAGTGTGGTGAACTTTGAAAAAACTTGTCACACCGCGGGAATGATTAAGTTCAAACCCCAATTGAGCGAAGCTGCGGTGGCCAAGTCCGCAACTTTGCTCAATCACAGATCTCGTTCACATCACGTTCACAATTTGTTCACCAGGTTTCCCTCCAGTTAACC